TAAATTTGCAAAATGTTTATGCTTAAATGTTTTGAGAAGAGGCTCATAGTTTACACTAGCAGCTGGTATCGCCACTTGTTGATAGTGATATAAACATAAAGTGTCGTTGATGGATTAGAAACTAAGAACTTCAATGAGATTGTCTTTTGAAGCGCCTTGCTAATTACATATTGAATTCGTTTCATACAAAAACATCACATTCAAGTAGTGTTTTGACACGTCAAAATGTGGCAACTTCTAACTGCAATGACATTGGGTTTGACTTCGTTGTGTCGAGACCAGACACATGAAGCTCAGTGGTTTGTCCCAGCATAAACAACACAATCGTTTACAACAAATAGCAACTGATTGAAAACCGGAGTTAGAAGCCTTTAGATCGAAAAACTCTCTACTAGGCTGTATGACAAAAGGTATGATTTCAACTTTCCAATAGTCAAAGTTCCCTTCACGTCGAGCAATATTGTAACAGCTCCAGCTTTAGAATCGGTGTTCACAATCGAGCATGGTCTCTCTAACAGGATTTCATAGGTGGGGTGGGATACGCTCACCTTTTCTCGAACACGTATCATCAATAGTTGATAGTGATTAATAAACACATGATCTGTCATCGTATCTCATAATATCAATCACTGCATCTTCTGTTCCAAGGTTTAACATACTCGTGAAGATCCGGGTAGGAATTGGTCTTTAGCAACCAATGCTTGTAAGAGCATGATCGGGTGGTCGTTCTCGATGACTTGGTTGACAAATGTCATCGTATCCCAATTATGTAGATCGATGTTCATGATGTTGATCACTGGACTGTCTGGTCCAGACTCCATTATATACAGACCTCCGCCATATAGCTTAGAACATTGTTCAGTGCGGCGATAAACTACGAATAAACCAACTAATCTGGTCCATGCTCGATCATTTACAGACCGCCGTTATAGACATGTAATGGTGTATCGTTGAACACACAAATAAGCGAAAGCTTGTTATATAGTCAGATTTGCATAAGCGACTTTACTTTTAGCAGAGATTTCTTATGGATGTGGAAAGGGTTTTATCGCCTTTAAATATTTGATACAATCATTATTACGTTTCGGAAACATCCGTTTGCATTCTTGGTAATCACGAAAAGATTTTAAAATTCATGTAATGCCGTAAAGATTATATTTATAATCCGCCTTTTGTAACTATTTTTAAACAATAGTTTTTATTGAATCACTACCAATCGCTAGTAGGATGAATGCGTCAGTAATTTCAAAATTCATGGCTGAAGGGGCTTTTGTCTCTGCTGTAGAACGACAAAATGGCACACAGACGTATAAATCCATATCAGGCCCCGATGATATTACTTGTATAGTTTAAGGCGTTCGTTCATCTTCTTGATGGTGAGTTCAGAAAGGCACACGAATATCTCAAATAAATACATATCTCAAAAGAAGAAAGTGTTGATGTAACTGACTATTAAATACATGTCGAAAGGGCTCTCTGTATGCCGTACTCTCAGGTCCGTTATGGTATGCTTTCCTAGAGTGTCCATATGGTACTCAAGGAAAACTAAGAGTGCACATAAAAACTCAATTCAGAAATTACACCAGAGAAAGAATTATAATCGGAACATTTGAAGCATGGGTGGTCAATTAGTTTTAAAAGAAAGCGCAGTTCCTGGTTGAATTGGGTCCATCATTGTTGCCATCATATGCCACTTTGAAATTGTTTATTCATCACATTGTGGAACATGTGCCAGTGTCGACACCAAGCAATATGTCACATGTGACAAGGAAATATAACAAGAAACATTCAATTTTGACAACGTCAATCAAGAATTGAAAAACATTAATGTTTTCATTTACGAAACATGTTCAAATTCAAGGTTAATGAGGTTCGATATTCTGAAGTAGCATGAATTCCAGCAAGATGTTTGAAACATCCTTAGTTACAGATTACGCCTTTGTCAATTTGCTTTGCGGCACTTTGATATTTTTTGTAATCATTATCGAAAAGTGCAAACCATAAGGGTTTTCTTTTCCAAGATTTGGCCAAGATGTTTATCGATGTCTGGTGTCGTTCAATATTTTCATCCACCAGTGCCTATCCATCTGAGCAAGACATCAGGACCAATGGAACCATCCACTACTCATACAGGTTCAGAATCTCTCCACGGGACTCATGAAAGAGCTGATATTACTGACTAGTGTATATGTGTGCAGATTTCATTCTCAGTTACCATTCTCGACTTATATGTGGCATTATTTCATGTGTTCTGTGGTCGAATCATTAATGATGCTCTCACATATTAAGGTTATGCTGGTTGATGCCTTGCTTCTGGGACCAACTGCAAACCTTTCATGTCTGGCAGCCAGATTATAAGTGTCATAAGTGACTGGGATTGACATTTTGATATATAGGTTAAAGATAAAACAAACTGCTTGAAGACATTACTTGATAGTGATACACACTATAAGTAATCAATCTCATTTACAAAAAAAGTCAAATTTAACATATGTTACAGTTTCTCGAAGTCAGATTACTAGAATCTGATAAAGTGTAATCCCAAATATAACATATGTTACATTCAATGCTAGCTATCTTTTGGAGCTCTCGTGGTTATATGTTCAATCATGTTTTATGCCAAAGAAGTCATGGGTTTAGGACACCTGATCAATGTGTATTCCATGGTTTGTCATCTGTCTGTCTAACAAAGATGAACTGTTGCAGAAAATTACACGAAAACGTTGTATTGGTTAAAAGTGCATGTATGTGAAAGGATCACCGTATATTACTTATGACATCCGATGTTGGTAGCAAAGATAAGCATGGCTTGCTCTGCCTGAAGCACCTGCCACCCATACAGTTTCATTTAAAACTTAAGTATCAGATAGTATGAAATGTGCGAAATCTGCTACACAACCCCGATCAACAAACCAACTGTGAAATACCTCTGAAAACGTACAAGCTTAACATTATATTTGAGCTAAGATCTAAACTAAAATCCTTCTGATTACTCATCTATTCTTAGATTCAACTGTTACATTCCCAAATTCAAACAAGATTTTATCTGTTATAGTGAGAAAGTTCAGTTATACCTTATCAAGAAACCACATGGTAAAGTTTTGCGGTCACTGGATACGTTTTCTTAGTGTTACAGACATATTTTAATCGACATTTTTCACGAGTGAGTTCAAGCCCATTAAGTATTTTCCTCCCTTTAGATAGACTGTCGAGATCACAGTTTATGTTATGAAACGAATTTCACACTGCGGTGGTTTACCTGAGTAAGAACGCTTTGAACCATGAGAGTTTAAATTGTGTTAAAGTTTCCCAACTATAATAGCAAACGTTACTCACACAATTTGCATGACACAAAAGATGTATGTGTTGTTGCCTGATGATATAATCGGATCTGTATGACTGACTCTATATATTGGAGATTTATTGCGATTTTGGAAAGAGTTGTATATTTACATCATCCTCAACCGTCTGCCTATGCGTATTGCTTTACTGTATTGATAACAGTAGTCCTTTACCAAGCCACATACGCCACATGATAAACACATGCTATCTTCAGGCACTCCTTAAAGCGTTTGGTTTCCAACTGCGACACGTTTGAACATTTTTAGAACATGGAAGGAGCGGTCAACCCATATACACCTATTTCGGCGGGGTGGTATCCATAGTTGTGACTGGCTACCCAAAATGGTATCTTATTTAACTTTGAGGAACAGAAAGCAGGTCGATACTGAAAAAGAGAACCTGAAAAGGAGTCGAAAGGTCTTGATTGTACGTTTGATTGTAATTGTCACCTGCAAACCATATATCAACGGAGGTCGATATTATGTTGCCAGCAACATAAACCGAGTAACAATAGTGAGTGAGTGAGTTAAGACTTTTAGTCACACGATTAACAATAACTCACAAGGCATGTCAAATAGCAAAATTGATAAACTGTATGAATATCCCTGGATAGATTCTTTTTATTGACACTTTGTGAAAATGTATAATCTTAACTGCTTAACAATATTTAATATTTTCCGCAGCGAATTGTTCATACCCTTTCAGGTATTGTTTAGCATCGTAATGATACGAAATAGAGACTGTCCCAGTCCATCATAAACCAAATAGAGGAAACATATCATTGAAATTAGAATAGGTTTTACCCTGTCTTTAACATCATTGATCTACGTGCAGAAATACTTCAGTAGGTCTTCTGCTTAGAATTCTTTAACTTTTCCATTATCAACGCCTCATGACGACATGAAGAACATTGATTGCAAAATCTCGAACACTGCTTTTTAGACTAGCACCGATATCACGAACAAAACGAAACTAAACATATTGTCATGCAATAGCTCCTCAACGGTTTGCGTTTCACATGCATTGTTGATTTGACAAAGACGGGTTAACTTTATTCAGCGAGAAGTAATTTATACGTGAATATATATATCAATATATATCAAGTAGATATTAACATGATTTTGTATTGCAACGCCAATGACTGGAAAGATAACCTAGATATTTACAAGAGATATGCTTCTTATAATACTTCATTTGTAGATATTAATTTAATTGCAAACGGGGCAATTCTTATTGACCATACAGGCCCCGACTTGTCCTTGCTTTGTATAGTAATGGGTACAGCCGGTCATTTAGAAAATGTTACCCCAAAGCGCTCTAACAACGAAGTTTTGCGATGCGCCAGACTTCTCATACCAGGAAGGTATGGAAAATATCAGATACTTTGACGGAGTTTAGACTATTGACAATCAAGAGAGATAACTCTCAAGGGCAATTACTATCATGGGAAATTTGGAGTAAAATTGGAGTTTCCGCATACACTGCCACATAACGTAAAATATTCTTGTGAAGAAAATATCAGATAAGTTTCCATATACATATGTATCAGTGTATGAAACGTGCCATGCATGACTTATTGTGTGGTATTCATCCTTTGAAAATACCAATACCACAATCCTTGAAAATACCAATACCACAATCCTTGAAAAGACCAATACCACAATCCTTGAAAAGACCAATACCACAATCCATGGGACCTAAACTGTTCCCGTAGCCCTAATCCCCCAAATTAGATAAATATCAAAATTCGACGCCAGAGAATAACCTCTTACCATTAACCGCCAAAACAGATGGTTTCGGATGGGTGAAAGCAGGTGAAAGATTATGAGAATGGACCACTGAAAGCCCCCTATGACACCAAGAGAGCATGGTAAGCACAACCTCCTTCCCAATTACTCACATTCCTGCGTGTCTGAACAAATGTGCATACATCTGTTTTTGTTATAGATAAGACTTAATATTCACCAGGTGTGAGGGACAAGGAAATACCTTTTTCCACAGGACATGATAAGAGGATGTTTCTATATGTAGGGCTAATTGAGAAAAGAAGCAAAATTCTAAAAAATTCGTTATAATGTGGCAAAGACCTAATTTAAACAATGCTGAGTATAATAGATATAACTGGAATGTCACTAAAAGTATCTTAACCATGCGTAATCAAACACTAGTGTGGCTGTCTTATCAGGAGAACACCCAGATACCGCCAGTTTTGTGTGTTTAGTGACTGTCAGGAAGACATGGCAACCCTGGTGCTGGGCCTACTGTTCGCCTGCCTCAGTCTACAGCTGTCAGAAGGGCTGCACAAACGTGAGCTTAGTACACGAGGCATATGTCTGTCGCTCGAAGCTTTTCATCGTATGCAGATAACTGTGTAATCAGTTAAACGTACTACAGGGGACATGTGTGAAACACGAAACCGTCAATATGTCATGAGAGCTGCCTGTCAAACGGGGCTGTGACCTTGACTTACTGTTCATTAATCGGTGTCTCTTAACTGTGACTGTGCATTTGAGACATTATTTATGTGTTTGTGGTAATTATCAGCTACTAGATCGATTACGAGGTTCGTGTTAAATGGCAAATGTTTTTTTGGGTTGAACGCTGTGTTGAAATTCACGAAAGGCCAACTTTTCTCTCTTGTCATGACGATGGTGCAACGTATAACATCACTATTCTTTTACCAGAATTCACAAACTCAAACCCATACTGGATAAAAACAACAAGATTAGTCCAAACACCAAAAATAACTGGTGCCATAAATGGCTTAGCAGAGTTACTTCCCTTATAAATAACAGGATCTGCTGCTTTTGCGTTTGAATTTGTAAGCACCTTTCCGTTCTCGTGATTTACACTGAGATAAACAACGTCCCATGTCATTAAAACATATACGTATACGTTCCATCAACTAAAACAGATATTTACCATTAGTGGACTATTTTTTTTTTATTGACTGTGCATTTCATGTTCTATTCCATTTTCACATGTGCACGTGTCAAAAAATGTTGGAAACATTCAGTCTACAATTTCAGTGCCATGAGTGCTGTCCCCAAATTTATTTTGTACAAACCAGTCATCATATACCTTTCCACTGCCAACATCAGCTGTTCTGTTCTTAATTAAGAACCATGTAGAGTCATATATATATATTTTATGAGCGTAATGTGTCTTTAGGTTAGTGTAGTTATAATGAACTGTGAAGTATCATGTCTTCTGTGATTTATGTTTACATTTGAGTAAATTATGTGAGAACTTGTACATGACATGCCTGAGGTCACACTCAAATCAAATATCGGATTGTCTCTCTGCATCAACACGTGTTTGTACAGATACCAATGGGAAAAAAATTGCGTATCGCCTGGGGAGTGATTAGGAACATTTGATGTAGTGGTCCTTTCAGTGATGACCAGGAAGTATGCTGGTTAATGTATCAAGACTCATTGGATCCGTATTCGCAAGTCATGCTAGCAACATTTTACATTTTTGTCACCAGTGATGTTGTCCTCACGGCGCGACGAGTCATGTCTGTAGCGCAGGAATTAGAAACATGGTCAGCTGAGGTAATTCACTTCAAAAGGCTACGAATGACCTCAACAAATCAATTAGAGTCATTTGAAGGTTATGAAACAGTTGATGTGAATTTGTGACATGGTCGTTGTACATGTAGATATAAAAAGACACACCGTTGTATGACTAACCTCTTGAAGTCCAATTATCAGACCATCACCGCATACATGCTGACTTTAGGGTCAACACAAAGAGGCGTTAAAGTGATCGAACTGTTCGCAAAGGTTGACAGCGGCACGAGTAAAACGCTGTCATCCATTGATTGGCATCAGGATGACTACTAATCACAGACGTTTCAGAATGGTGTGGACACGGGGTCATAACGTCAGGCATCTGCATCATTGACGTTACACCATGTGAAGTGGCGACTGGAGGTCACTTATCGATTTTAGGATGGCTTGAGTCCTCTTTTGAAACGTGCTCATCAGCCCTACCTGCAGTGTGCCTCCTCAATACTCCAAATCATGGTTTGGGAGAGTGTAATTTAGGTAAATAAAAGTACAAAATTACAGAAATCACATATAGGTTATGGCAGCCTGTAAATATATAACGTCAGCGTTAGATAACATTCAGTCTCGATTGACTGGGCTAAAGGATTCAAACGGGCGTAAAAGGCAAAATCGTGGTCAACATTCTATGAATGGATCTGAAAATCCATCTTGATCGTTGACTCATGGGGTTCGTTATCGTAATGAGGTTTTGATGCCAGCCGTGGTATCATTAGTGCGTATGACTGGCCAAGAGTTAGAACACGATGACACCCGCCCATGAACAAATCGTGTGAAGGTGGCGTCAACCACTTTTAAAATCTGTGGCAAGAACATAGTATTTCGGAACAACTCTTTGTAGCTCTGCTGCTGATTCAATGGGGAACTACAAGTACGCTCGATACTGTGTCAGGCAGTTGTCTGATTCCATAAGGGTCATGATCGTTATTTTGGATCAGGTCTATTACATAGCCGTTAAATACAGGACAGTGTATTTTCCATTAAAACCGTGCGATCATTTATCGCATCACTTAAGAACGAATGCATATCTTGTTTCTTCATTATGTGTTACTTTAATCCTATAGATGATGTTACAATATATGTTGCAGCTCCCTATCTGAACAAAGTTTCAGTTTTCCGGGTAATATGTTAGTAACGTCGCAGGCATTTAATAGTATCATTTGAAGAATGGGTGTCAGAATGTTGCTAAATAAATAGAACTTAAATACCCGAGCAGAGAGAAATACCGCTTGAATCCTTCTGCACGATGTTACATTTACGACTTTAAGATATTTATAGTACTATAAATCCAAACAACAGGTGTTTTTCCGTATGATAGGATGGATAATTTCCGTGATTATGTCCAACTCAGTCAAGATAAATTCTGTCGCATGATACACTTATTACGTTATCACATGAAACCAAACCGTATAAAACATTTAATGGTGGTCAAGAACAAACAGAACATAATGTATTTTCCGAGTTTAGATGAATAATGATATATGATTTCTACTGTTCGTGTTTTGATATGCTGCTAGAGGGCTTGTGATTATCTCAAAATGCCTGCAAAGTATGCTTAGTAAATACCACAGATCAAATATGCCATTACATCGGATGACACAGCCAGAGGAAACTAGCCTCTATCGTGAATCCGACTCGTTACGAAACATTCTAAACTAAATAACAAATAATACTCATATTGTAAGCAACACAAAAAGAGGTAATAAGATGCATTTAGTCTGCAGTGAAGCTGATATGAGCAACGTGGGCAACAGCCTGTCCCTGTTCTTCCCTCCGTGTTTGCCTCAGATAAACCAAGCTGTGTTTGTTCTGTAAATGAGGAGAGTTGAAGATGTTGCCAGCCCCGTGGTCGTTGTCCCTGAGGATGTCGCTTGTCCCAGCATTACTTAGTCGTTGTAGCTAGCTGTATTAGATAAAAAAATTAAAAGCATGCTGCCTAACGGATAAGTATTGATGCTCTGTTGAAGAGTGAGGGCTCTGTTTTTTTCTTAGCTACACATTTCTATAATAATTAGGCACTTTCTTATCTATCAGGGATGATTTAGCCGTGTAAGGAGGCATATTACCTCCATCGATTGTGGACTTTCAACAGTAACATCCGTTGAAGGAGATCAAATGGTCGAAAACTAAAATATGTTGTAATATTGATTACAATCTAACTCCGATTACCAATATAAATCACTCAAGCAGTCAGAGCACAGGGCTAAGTGGGGGTTTAACGCTTCTGTATGGTTCATGAATAATCTTCAATAGGAACTAATGCTAAATGACCTCATGCAATAAGCCGAACTTCGCCATCTTCCTTCCATTGTGGGGGAGATTATTTACACGTTACGGAACGCTTTGTGCAAAGTTTACAGTCGAACTGGATTGAATGGACCTGTTTCATTTTTCCGTAATTATATCAACTTTGCAGATTTTAGCCCTGGTGAAAAATGATTTGATGTCGGTTTTTGAAATGCCGCTTTTATCTCGGTATCGATTTAGCGGAGTTACGACCAACGTTTTATCTCATATTTTTGTGATGTTCGGTCATTACACGACTAACTCTTGATCTCACATCATCCATTTTAGGCTGTCGCCCATTAGAAATAAACAGGCACATTGTACAAGTAATATAACCACGCCGTTTATTTCAATTTCCATGCCTTCATTGTAACATATTGGAAAACCGACTTTTTACCTTCTGGAAAAAATATCAATGGGAACAACAGCTGAGAGGTTGGTTCGAATGCTTGCAGCTGAAGTATATATAGCACAGTGATACACTTGTTTTATGATAACGTTCAGTGGGAATGAGGGGCGGTGGGATAGCCTAGTGGTTAGTTCGCTCATCAGACCCGGATTCGATTCCCCACATGGGTACAATGTGTGGAGTCCATTTCTGGTGTCCCCCGTCGTGATATTGCTGGAGTATTGCTGAAAGCGGTGTAAAACCAAACTCATTCACTCATTGAGAATGAGTGAGTGAGTTCAAATCCGCTGAAAGTTTACATTTTGACGAAGGTGAAAGCCGCGAACACGGATCTGGGGATCTCTTACGAGGGAGCCAAGCAACTGCTAGCCGCGATCACGGATCTGGGGATCTCTTACGAGAGAGCCACGCAACTGCTAGCCGCAATCACGGATCTGGGGATCTCTTACGAGAGAGCCACGCAACTGCTAGCCGCAAACGCGGATCTGGGGATCTCTTACGAGAGAGCCACGCAACTGCTAGCCGCGATCACGGATCTGGGGATCTCTTACGAGAGAGCCACGCAACTGCTAGCCGCAATCACGGATCTGGGGATCTCTTACGAGAGAGCCACGCAACTGCTAGCCGCGATCACGGATATGGGGATCTCTTACGAGAGAGCCACGCAACTGCTAGTTGTGGAATCTAGGACTACTGCACGACCCGACCTTAAGATTTGCTATAATAACAGTGCTCTACAAACTGTTTGTGGTGACGAGTGTAAGGCAAGACGATATTGCGATTTAGATGTTGAAGCAAGGGTGAGGTGAGGTGAGGTGAAATTGGGTTTAACGTCGTGCTTGAGAATATTTCGCTCATATGACGACGTGCATGCGTGTGTATGTGAGGCTGCTTGTACTAGCCCAGACTGAAGCTGGTTTTATAGTGCTAGCCCACTGAGATACCACGCCGCAGTGAAGCATGAATACCCACTCAGACACATTATACTGACTCCGAGCCGACCAGTCCCAGGTCCCAGGTCCCAGGCAGGGACCAACAAGTACCATATTTTAACGTCTTTTGGTATGACGCGGCCGGGGATCGAACCCCGCGACCTTCCGCTCTCCGGGCGGACGCTCTAACCACAACACCACGGAAGCGGTTTTATAACAAGGGAGACTAGATGCGCTTGCTGTATCAAGGGCCTTGGACCATCATTAATTCCTTCCTTGCTATCTGCAGTGACATGCCAGTCTACCATACTTAATATCGGTTAAAGGCTGTTCTTCTGTTGCATGCTGACCAACCTGCCACTGTGACATAACCGGCAAAATATCGGCCTGGACCCACCATCTCAACAATGGTCACCGGAAACACGAAGCAGCCTTGAACTTGAGGTCAAATCATGGAAGGCTGGAGTCAATACCATGTGCAGAATGTGGGGAATTTGTTTTGTGTGTAATTGTGATTACATATGAAGGTTATATGTGGTATAATCATGATCTGCTCACAAGGCAAACGAGAAAATTGTACATGTCGTAATTTCATTCTAGGTTCCTCCGTTTGCTACGACCATCTGGGATGTTTCGCCACAGACCCGCCGTTTTTAGTCTCCATCGTCCATTGAACTTCCTTCCTGAGTCACCCGACCATATCAAGGTCACGTTCATGCTGTACACCAAACGCAATCCTCAGAAAGAACAGATTCTATCAAGTAACAGCTCTGCCTCCGTGACCTCTTCGAACTTTGACCCAACAAAGCCCACCAAGATGGCAATACATGGCTACTATGACAATGGCCAAAAAGCATGGCTTCATGTAAGTAGTTCTTTTACTTGTTTGATTGTTTGGCCAGCCTCTTCACTTTCCGAGTACCACCTCCGTGGTGTAGTGGTTAGAGCGTCTAGTCTGCCCGGAGAGCGGAAGGTCACGGGTTCGATCCCCGACCGCGTCATACCAAAAGACGTTAAAATGTGGTACTTGTTGGTTCCTGCCTGAAGCTCGGCATTAATGGGTACAACAAGGACTGGTCGACCTCGGAGTCAGTATAATGTGTCTGAGTGGGGTATTCATGCTTCACTGCGGCGTGGTATCTCAGTGGGCTAGCACTATAAAACCAGCTTCAGTCTGGGCTAGTACAAGCAGCCTCACATACACATACACACGCATGCACGTCGTCATATGAGCGAAATATTCTCAAGCACGACGTTAAACCCAATTTCACCTCACCCCACTTTCCGCTCTTTCATGGTTGTTCGCAGTATTATTATAGCATTAAACATATTATACTTTTTGAACTCAATATAAACTAAAATAAATTCTAAACACAAAGCATGTGATGTTTTGCAGGTATCAACTTCACCGCATAATCAGTATATACAACCAAACAAGATTTCTTATCTATATTATATATATTATCTTTGTGAAGCAGGTAAATGGATTACATACGTTCGTGTCTGCTATCATCATTGTCGGGGAACTTTACAACATTACAAACAGGGATGTTTATTAACATTGATTTTAGGTGTCGCTCCAGAAGAAATGCAATTTCTTGTTGGGAGTATGGTTTCCTGCAGCGTCGGCCCTGTGGCACCTGACAAATGATAACGAGCATTTTGCGTGTTGTATCTCCAGGAGCTCAAGGACGAGTATCTCAAGACTCACGACGTCAATGTCTTCATTGTGGACTGGGGCGGTGGTTCCAAGACGTTGTACACCCAGGCCACAGCGAACACCAGATTGGTCGGGGCAATCGTGGCTCAGTTCATCACACACCTCAAAGTGAGTAAGATCCTCCCCTCTGGCCGTACACTCTCTACAGTTGTTCAGTTCCTTACCCCTTGAATCACGTACAATCAGAAGCCCTTTATCACGCCCTGGGGCACTAAAGTAAGGGCACATGTAGGTCGCTTTATACCATCCTCAAGTGAGCATGACCATTGATATACGCCCACTATTTCCTGGTTTGAAAATCGATATCTCAAGATATACCTCCAAGTAAGTAAGATACTGCTCATTCTCGACATGCACCCGGACGAGGTTGGGCACCAATTTATCATCATTTACCCAAAAGTGATTGAAACTCTCATTCAACGACCAGATACAGTCATAATACAGACAATCAACAAAAAGCACGGCGGGGTGATCAACGTGATCAGATAGTAAAGAACAGACAGCAATCAGTTAGCTAGGAACGGGCGGGATTAGGCGCTCAGAGTGAGTAACACACTGCTCTACATCCAGCAGACAGCTAAGAACAGGCGGGATTAGGCGCTCAGAGTGAGTAACACACTGCTCTACATCCAGCAGACAGCTAAGAACAGGCGGGATTAGGCGCTCAAAGTGAGTAACACACTGCTCTACATCCAGCAGACAGCTAAGAACAGGCGGGATTAGGCGCTCAGAGTGAGTAACACGCTGCTCTACATCCAGCAGACAGCTCTGGCGGAATTAGGGCTCAAAGTGAATAACACAGTCTATTACATCCAGCAGACAGCTTAGAACAGGCGGGATTAGGCGCTCGGAGTGAGTAACACGCTGCTCTACATCCAGCAGACAGCTAAGAACAGGCGGGATTAGACGCTCAAAGTGAGTAACACACTGCTCTACATCCAGCAGACAGCTAAGAACAGGCGGGATTAGGCGCTCAGAGTGAGTAACACACTGCTCTACATCCAGCAGACAGCTAAGTGGCGGAATTAGGGCTCAAAGTGAATAACACAGTCTATTACATCCAGCAGACAGCTTAGAACAGGCGGGATTAGGCGCTCGGAGTGAGTAACACGCTGCTCTACATCCAGCAGACAGCTAAGAACAGGCGGGATTAGACGCTCAAAGTGAGTAACACACTGCTCTACATCCAGCAGACAGCTAAGAACAGGCGGGATTAGGCGCTCAGAGGGAGTAACACGCTGCTCTACATCCAGCAGACAGCTAAGAACAGGCGGGATTAGGCGCTCAAAGTGAGTAACACACTGCTCTACATCCAGCAGACAGCTAAGAACAGGCGGGATTAGGCGCTCAAAGTGAGTAACACACTGCTCTACATCCAGCAGACAGCTAAGAACAGGCGGGATTAGGCGCTCAGAGTGAGTAACACGCTGCTCTACATCCAGCAGACAGCTCTGGCGGAATTAGGGCTCAAAGTGAATAACACAGTCTATTACATCCAGCAGACAGCTTAGAACAGGCGGGATTAGGCGCTCAGAGTGAGTAACACGCTGCTCTACATCCAGCAGACAGCTCTGGCGGGATTAGGCGCTCAGAGTGAGTAACACTCTGTATTACATCCAACAACTTAGATTGGGCGATCAGTGTAAGTACGAACTCTCCCTTTCAATGAACGAATGAATAACTTTGATAAACAATGAGCCGTAAGACTCGTTGTTGTAAGCTGTGAGTATCAGCTATCATGGTAAATGCTTCTCCCCACAACAAGACGAGGCAACACGCATCCCCTACAACAAACATTCAATGAGTAACTCGACTATTCCAACCTTTCCAACTTTCCACCGCCAACCATGGTCGTAGCATTGCTAGTAACTTATGTAGCTGGCTACCTTAAAGTTGGTGATATCTCTTAACCCACTCCCAATTTATCTAATCGAATGTTTACACCCTGAGTCAACCATTATAGAATTTCCATGCCAAAATAGCACAATAAGTATTCAACGAAGCGAATGGGTTTCTTTGTTTTCTTAATTTATTGCCCTTTAAAGTTGAGACATATCGACCTTATCCTATAAATGTGCTCTTATGTTACGTTCACATGCTGCAATGTGAGCCCATAATGTATCAGAAACTGTGCGTTGCCGCTGAACGTCATCAAGTCGAAACAGTTAGAGAGTCAGAGAGCCAGTTAGAGAGATACCCTAAGTTGACTCCTCATACGTCTTACAGCGTTTTGTAATTATGATTTCCGTTACAATTCATCGCAACCTTTTATCGGTGTTTATGGTAAGGTGCCTGTAGTCTGTTACCCAGCAGTTTTCCCCATGGTGCCTCTACGCACAGCAATAACGGTAAATCAATACCCTTTCAAGAACGCACAAGCTGAACATCTAGCCCCAGGTAACTTGTAAATGTGTTTTTGAAGCATCATTGTTGTTTAACGGTCACTTCTCGTCACGTGAATCTGTCAAGCAGAACACATAATCTGTAACACATGATCTGTAAACCAATCCACGGCGATTTTCTCAGAGCTGATCAGTGTTCCGGTAAATGTAACATGTCATATACAGCATCATGCTGCAGCTGTTCTCGAGCAATTTCTGTGCGTATTTATGTCAGTGATCCCACGTGTTTGTTTGTTTGTTTGTTTGTGTGTGTGTGTGTGTGTGTGTGCGTGCGTGCGTGCGTGCGCGCGCGCGTGTGTGTGTGTGTGACTTTCTTAAATTTATACAAATATAGATTATAATATGGGTGCTCGCTAGACGAGCTTAAACGAGATAAATCGTTGTTCGGCTCCTACATAAATGAAAAGTCTGACCCCTCGAAAATATTACTCATACGACTGGTCCTAACAGCAACTAACAATCAGTGGCTGCGATATTTAAAAGGCCGTAAACTAGAAATGTGTTTGACTACAATGACCTCTGTTAGAACGTTCTTTCTAATTACACGTTCGCTTGGTGGATCACACGCATCAGTCTCGTACACAAAAAGGGTCACGAAACATTGCTCCATTTTGTTAAATACACACCAATTTATTACTCAAATAGAACCAACATCGTAGGTACACGAGGACAAATAGAGTAGGCCAATATACACAGCTAGATTAATGTTATTTGAGTTTCATAAATATCAAACAAATGATGCTATAAAAGTTCTTGGTAAACTTATCATTGTAAAGACACTTGGCGGTATTTTGCAAGTTGACCATGTGTAGTGGTAATCATTAAGAACGATATGCGGTCCAATATAAAATGTGGGCATTTAAAAATACCGTTTGCTCTACCTACATGTATAATGTTAAAAACAAACCTAAACATGAGTCTCATTAACCTGTTCAGACAATGACCTACTTTTCAGCCGATCCGAAGTTTCTCGTGTGAAAGTGAAAATAGACATCACAAACAACTATGGTTACATTGAATTCCAATTCCTTGTTTCATAAGAAAGTGGTTGTTATAAATGAATTTCAATTTTAAACTTTAATAACATCGTATTTCTATATTTATGGCGAGGTGTAGGCAGCATGACATTAACTAAGACGTCACAGACTGCCCCAGTTTGATGAGGTCGTAAAATGATTCACAATGCATCTGGCTTATTGGCTACACCTGTTATGTGTGTTTTCCACTTATTCAGTGTAGTTCAATAACGCACAATGTGATTGATATAATATCAAGTCCGTACCAGACCGCCAAACTTTTCTAGCGGCAGAGCCTCGTTTTGAGATTTCCACGATTTCCAGGCTTCTGTTTGTCAGTGCTCGTTATACGACAGTGCACGCTGCACTGCATGTTTGCAAGGATTATAAGGAGCGTAGTGTTGCAATATACAAGTGCTTAGATGTATCAAATAATACTTATCCATATTTATGTATCCAGTTAAATGAATTGGTCTCAAAATTCAGGACTGTTATTGTACTAAGTTGCGCAATAGGACGGAACCCAGTCAACAGGAAACGAGACTGTTGTGGAATCAATGTTTGATTTGTATACTCCTGCCCTGCACTATTATAGAATTACTTCTGACGGGTTTAAAATCAAATCTGTAAATTCCGTAATTATATACCTTCGGAAAGGGCTAATTAATGGATTGATCCACCCCATTCCATGCACCGTACGTTGTACAAATGATAAAACAACCCTCAAATATATATTAAAGATTTAATAAGTCACATTTTATTACCTGTTCAGTGTGTGAGTATCCAAACTCCCATAAAGCATGGATTAATAATTTAGGTTTTAAGTAAATTTGGCTCAGTTTTATCACGTGAACGTCATCAAGACGTAATGTAATAATTTAATGATTATTATTAATCATCTTAGAGTGAGTGAGTGGGTGAATATTACTTAACCCTGCACCAGCAAATTTGCAGCTGTTCGAGCGGTTCGAGGAATGTCTTTTCCTTAATAGAATGTTAAACACGATAAAAGTGATGTAGAAAATCACTAAATTTCGAGTCCGATGTCACATTCTTAGAAATATTGGTGAAATGTTAACTTGTATGACAGTTAAAGTCAAGTTGTAAGACATAGTCAAGACAGCGAGTGAGTGAGTGACGAGCGAACACTGTAACCACTAGGCTAAGCCACCGCACCACGTCACGACAGAATGTGTGTACATACATATACCTATAGGCATGTGCAGGTGAGTGCCTCATTCGGCCTAATGCAGTGCTAGCCTATTACGGTACCATGCCGCGGGTCAACATCGAAATCCTACTCAGACACTGTACAATCCAAGCACACCGGACCCTTTTGTGTTCATTTAATGTCGAGCACCAGACAGAGTAGTAACGCGTCCAATCTATTAACGTCTTTCGGGGATCGAACCTTCGACCTTCATGTGTAGGGACTATTATACAGTCTACTACATTCAACTCCGACATAGTATACTCAAAGAACCCGGTTTGGTCATAGTGCGTCATCTTTATGCCATCTTTATGCCATCTTTACGTCATGGAAGTAATGAGAATAAAATGAAGCGGCTGGCGATCGATCCACCGACTTTCCGCTCAGACAGACGCGCTGTCCAATGGACCACGAAGACCAACCCTTATACGTATGTGATTGTGTAAACTGGCTTTAATCAAAGTTGACATCTTGTTGTGTGTGGGCGCCTGTTGTGTTTGACCGCTGCCATAAATAGCAAAGCTATATCAGCCAAGACAACTGTGTTGCTACAGCAGATATGGTGTTTTTGTATATTCTTAGCATGTCTAGTACTGTAAATAGTACGGTGATTCTTGGTACAGGGGTGTTCTAGTTATCGTGTACTAATTATATTTGTCGTGTACTTCTTTACTGTTTTTTTATTATAGTATTTTTTATTGTTCATGCATTATTGTGCTCACATTTTTATGAATGTGGTGAACGTGACAAATTGTGCAACTGCCTGCTATGGTCAACACAGTCCCCCCTGGCATCCTATGTCTGTCATGACACGATGTGTAGTGTATGTGATGCAAAGATGCATCGATACCAGGTTGCTTCTTGGTCGTATGTCTTCAAAATTGTACCCGTGAAGGTCCGGATTAGAATGAACCTTCAGTAACCCATGCCTGTCGTAAGAGGCGACTAACAGGATCGGGTGGTCAGGATCGCTGGCCTGGTTGACACATGTCATCGGTTCCAGATTGCGCAGATCGATGCTCATGCTGTAGATCACTGGATTGTCTGGCTCAGACTCGATTATTTACAGACCGCCGGCATATAGCTGGAAAATTGCTGAGTGAGGCGTAAAACTAAACTCACTCACTCACTACAAAAGTGACTTCATGCTAATATGCCACCATCATCACCGTAGTTCGGAAACGCTCGACATGAAGACATAGCGTGATCAAGGCTGATCTGATATTACACCATGTGCCCTGCGGGATCATGACTTTCGTGATGGGATCTAGTCTTTTTAAAGCCAGAATGGTCACGTTTTCTGTGGTAGAGAATTGTTATTGTAATTGTCTTTGGTCACGCATTTTCGTTAATGTGATCTAAGCCGATTTAATGGATGAATCGTGTGAGTTCCTGCTTGTACACCGTATGATACAAACCTGATACAAACGCTCGCATGGAAAGTTAATATGTAATAACGCAGAAAGCACCAATGACTATATAATGTGAAACCCCGAAAAACTGTTGGTAGATCGCCTCTTGTGATCAACTACACGAGAACGTTCGGCATGGACTGATCTCATATTTAACAACTGAGTAATATATTGAAGAACTCTGAAGAAACGACGAGTCCATAGTATATAATATATGAAATTATTCCAGTTGTTCAAAGTATATGTGATTTACTGGCATGTGAATGACATAACAAGAACTGTCTATCACTTTCTTTGGAAGGGTAATAAATGTTATTTAAAATAGTGTCTGAAGGACTGATTTTTAAGATATTCAAGGCAAGTAATTCTATTCAACAGGGAACTTTCTTATTTATTGTCTTAGTTTCTATTTTCGATAGCGCTCGGCTATAACTTTACTTTCGATGGAACTAGTTAATGAATATTTGGGAATGGTTGTTATATGTGTTTGTCTGCATTAAGAATAAATTCTGACACATCAGGGGCGGTGGGGTAGCCTAGTGGTTAAAGCGTTGGCTCGTCACGCCGAAGATTCGGGTTCGAATCCCCACATGGGTACAATGTGTGAAGCCAATGTCTGGTGTCCCCCGCCGTGATGTTGCTGGAATATTGCTAAAGCGGCGTAAAACCAAACTCAGTCAGTCAGTCTGACCCATCAATATAGATGCGGATACAAGACTATTGGATAAAGTGTTATAATAAACGTTAATTTGTATCGCTATCGAGATGGTTGTTCTAAAATTGAAGCCCAAATATTTACTGATAAACTGAGAAGCTACAGCGTGCCATATTAGCATTTAAGACCTGCAGACATGTTAACAACACGAGTCGCAGGCATTCAGACTGTCTATGTACATGAAAAACTAGAGCGGTGGGGAATGCAAGAGTGGGTTATACAATACATTGATCAATATCCGAGACGCCATATCGGGAGGGAGAAATCAACATCCTGCTTGCTTTAGTGCGCCCACATGGGGAATGAAACCAGGATCTTTGGTCTGACGAAAGGGCGCTTTAACCACTAGACCACCATTAGTCGGCATCAGGTGCTGTCCTTTATGACATTGTGTTTCAGGGGAATTGGTTAGGTTGTATGTTTTGTCTGGGGATGAATATTCATATCAGTTTTTAAGGTTGGACGAAAATCCACATCCAAACCTCTTTGAGGGGCATCACAAATGTTTGTTCATTGTATTTTAATGGCCTCTTATGTACTTATTTTAAACAAAACAAATATTATATTTGTGTTTTGTTTAGTATTTGAGGTGAATCCCATGGCTGGCCACTGTTTATCTAACTCATAAGCGCATTACATACATCTTCGTGCCATCTGCATCTTGTCCTGAGACCGGCTAATGTGATGTTAGCCACACTGTTCTCACGTCACATCGCTTTACTAATTGTGCCATTGAGTTGTTTTTGTAACGATGGCATGTGTTACAGACTGTGGGTCATGCCAAGCCTGAAGACTTTCATCTGATTGGACATAGTTTGGGCGCCCATACAGCTGGTTATGCAGGGGAAAGAATTCAGTACATTGGAAGAATCACGGGTAACATTTAAAATGAAAAACGAGGAAACATTTGAACCACTTTATCAACAATACCATTATAACAAAATAAAGTAATAATGGATAGGTCATGCAAACTAACACCTTTCTGGAAACCAGAATAAATAAATGTAAATATTCCAGCAACGATGAATAAATTAATGGATACATTAACATGTGAATGATTATGCCCTTAACTTTCCTCACATGAATTTTTGACCCAATGCCCAATAGAAACAATTACTTCACATGGTGTCATCAAAGTAAACGACACATTGATACCAGAATAACTAGTGGTAAAGGAGGTTTGCTAAAACGTGAGCACTAATTTCCAATAGCTTTATGAATGACTCTTTTCGCCCAGGCCTCGACCCAGCAGAACCCTACTTCCAGGACACTGATGTTACAGTGAGGCTCGACCCGACCGACGCCCTGTTTGTGGACATCATACACACCAATGGAGAATCAATTCTTAAACTGGGCATGTGTTACTGCAATGATAACCAACCGTGTTTGGTGGTGTAATTTTCACTGTTGATAGTGTTTCTGATATAATACCACGTTTTCTTGTGATGGTATGATCGGAGCAACCACGTAGATGTGGTATACTTTTTAAAATATCGTATCTCTCTCAGGTCTCGGGATGAAACAACCGTGCGGTCACGTGGACTATTACCCTAATGGCGGACTAACACAGCCCGGATGTGACACGAAGAACGCAGTGGCAGATGTAAAGATCGAGGGACTTCCAGGCGGTGAGATTACGTACATTGATGTATTGCCTCACAATTGTATGTGTCACAAAGACATAATGCCACTTCAAAGTGATAATTTCGCATGTCAGAAACATATTTCTAATAGATCTAGACACAGCAACTGGATGGCATCGTGTTTTGAAACATATTTAAGCACAGAAGTGAGGAAGTGTGTAGTGTTATTTTCCAGATCGGATGAACAGGGACCGACTTTCTAACCAAAAGGGACCAATACATCTGACACAGTATATCAAACCTTTGCTAAAAGCTGAATCCATTGTATGATTCCGACTAGATCATAAGCATTTGTTTATGAATCACATTCAAATTGCGATGGTAGCAGGTGTTCGCGTAAAAGAAAGTATATTCTGTCCCAAGTGTCGGAAACACATGGAGAGATCTAGTCAGGTGTTCACCTCAACACACTTGCAAGCATGACAACAATGGGAGATAACTCTTAGCCACTGACCGGTCAAATTTGGAAGTGTCAGTCACACAAAACTTACATATCTACATCTTACTTTCTGAATCAATTTATATTTCAGAATATCCAATAGTCAGTATTTTCTTTTATCATATCTATTTCAATTAAAGCTTTAATCTATATTTGATTATTCTCGAAATGCCCTAGAAAATAATTGCTACTTAAATGCCCCAGAATAAAGTTGTATTTTCAAACTGACAAACCTATCGATGTCTGTGGTTGAAGTTAATGGTGACACAAGATTATCCCTGAGAGACTGCTGACTGTTGTTACGCATAGAAAATCGCGTCCTTCTGAAAAGACTTAGTGATGTTCAAACCGTTAACATGAAGATCTTTGAGATGAGAGGTTTACAAAAAGAGAAACATGTTCCATGTGATATATAGATCTAGAGAGGAGCCTTTTACGACGTGGTCATAATTTCTAACATATTTCCTGACAAATTGGCAGTCATGATGTGCCATGAATATTCTGTAGTTAAAATGACATAAACAGTATGACTTTTGAACAGTAGAAAGGTCACACGTCAATCTGAAAGAAGTTGAAATAATCTGTGATACCTCAACATTGATCTAAGTGACGTGTAGTGATCTCAAGGAGGGAGACGGTATGTAGATGTAAGTCAGCTTAAGCGAAGTGATATATTTCGGAAACAATCGCGACTGCATGCGACCTCTTGGGAGCCCTCACTTTGACGAATTGTCAAATGTGTTGTGACATTGCCGGAAGGAAGTGACATTCTTAAGGGTTCGGTACGTATAATTTGACATCTGTTCAACTTCAAAAACTCGCAGTGGCGACTCTTTTTGTACTTAAGTCATATGTCAAAAGTCGTAATGGAAATAGGTATTCGCTCCTCAGGAATGAAACTGAAGAGCACACCTCTGATAAGAATGATTAACTGAAACGTCAGTATTTGATAAAGAAACAGGACATCACGCATATTGAACTGCATTCGGTCATTTGAAACATCTGCTGCATTGGAAATATGGTTGGGGTACCATATATATTCCGAAATAAACACAAGGGAAAACTGTAAGCTATTTGGCAGTCTGGTGTATTCTTGAACAATTATTGTATTACATTGTTTCCTTTAAGATTCAGTACGATGTAGTAAAGTTAATTTTCAACAATAATTCGTTGCCGGCAAAATATTACTTATCTATCTAATGTAGTACCGCGTGTGTGTTACCTTATTTAGATGCTTTTCAAGTGTAATTTTCCAGAGAAGCGTAGAATATTTCAACATAGTATGCAAGGTTATATAGACTAGTGTATAAAAGGACAAACATGCCTAGACTGAAAGCTTGACCACTGTTGCAGCAAGCTTACTTGTGAGTGTTATTAATACTCAGTATAAAGTTATTACTTATATTAATATGTATACATATATGCTATATATTGCCACTGACTGGTCTAATGGCAATGCGCTTACTTTGCAGTAATTATTACATATATCTAAGCCGTGTTATTTCACAGTTGTATTCCGTTGGTTCAACCTATTGTTACAATTTGGGAAATGGCACGGAGCACTTTAACATTCATGGATTTAAGGGATAAAGTTGATTCAATCAAATAGAAAATTATTGAAAACCTATCCTTGTGACCTCACAATTTCTTATAATGTTAATCCAACTGTGTTTCATGTGTTAACAGGCGTCCACCAGTTCTTTGCTTGCAGCCACATACGCTCACATGCGCTCTTCATAGAATCCATCAATAGCAAATGTCCTTTCGAAGCTTACAAGTGTAACAGTTACGACGATTTCAGTGTAAGTTATGAAGTAAAACCTGCTATTCAGTGTCAAACTAGAATTGATATAATTGACTTTAGTTATATCTCTTCGTAATAGCTTATCTTTTCTGTGTAAATATGAAGAGCGGAAAATGTTAAAGCCGTCGTGAAAAGAACATAAAAGCCTCAGCTAGGTGTGTGTTACGTTTCTCGAAGGGAGCCATGGCAAGGTCGGATAAATGCTGACATAGCAATAGCACTGAACAACATGTACAGCAAGTGACGTGCTGTTTTCTTCTGGATCAATTGGTGGGCTGTGTTTCACGGTCGAATGTAAGCTGTAAGTGCAAGTAGTTAGTGTCTTTGTGAAACACACGGATAACATCTGAGGTTATGGAGCGCAATAACCAGAAATGCCTCAAATGTTTTTAGGCTGGCAAATGTATTCCATGCAGCGGCGGCGGATGTGGCTACATGGGTTACCATGGTGACCGTGTCAAACCAAACAACGGGCAAACGTTAGTGAAGTATTTCTTGAAGACTGGTCTGCACGCGCCCTATTGTCGTAAGTAATGTCGTTTATCCACAAGCAGACAATTTATTATAATCTGTTTCACGAACGGATCATTTAATAATAATCGTACTTGAGAATGTCAGGTAAAGTATGACACAGTGATGTAGGTGACCCTATAGTTACAGAAATCAGATGAGTGTGCAATAACATGTCTTAGCAACTTCAGTTTTTCTGACCGATTGCTATATTGAATAAGCAAACAATTCATTCATTCCAAAATGTCAGGTCTAACCAACACTCTCAGTTTAAACATATGGCAAACATGTTTCTGAAAACACAACACACTTATGTGGGTGTTAAAAACATATGCTTGAACCCAGACACAGTGTAACAACAGTTACACACAAGAGGTGACATTTAAAGATGAAAATCAGTTTATGCTTTTTAATAATAACGGTACCTTAGAAAATTCCATCATAACATATTTACAATCCATGCAGCAATAGCCAAGGTCTTGATTGGTATACCTCAGCATCCGTCATGCTTAACATCATGCTTTTAATAATAACGTTTTGCGATTATGTTTTACATGAACTTGAGGGCTTTCACGTGTTGAGACAATTAGCTGCACATATTATACTTCTTCGGTCTGCTCCATCCACCCGGTTATGTGAAATATACTGTCATCCTTTAACCTTGGTCCTAACCTTACCTTGTCATGCCAAAACATCTGCGTACAGAGTCATGGAAGGAAAGGTTGAGTTGGTTTTGCTTAAAGAAATTCAAACTAAAATTAAAATATATGTTTTACCTGAAACTAGCAATATGTTCACTGGATATGATAATGGAAATAATGCATTGTAAGAAATGGTGTTTGGCTCTTTCGGAGAGTATATTGTGCATTATCATGTAAGTAACTGCATGTGTGTGTGTGTGTGTGTGTGTGTGTGTGTGTGTGTGTGTATGTACGTGTGTACATATACATGTATACGTATTTCGCAGGGTTCCACTACCAGATACAGATTACATTTGGTGCGCCACAGGGGTCCCGTGAAGAGAGGGGCGATTTATACGCAACACTTACCGGCAGCACTTACCGGAAATTCAGCACAGACGGCATTAAACTGTTTTGGGAAATTCACCTTCAGTTGTTAGCGATCTATAGCCCATTTTTATACATAGTTAAAATGTAGAAATTACTATTATAATATCCTGTTTTGTTTTGAATTTTATAATTTCACTTCAATTGTTGTTATAACTGCTATGGTACAGTTTTCTCTAGGTGTACTTTCACCTAGGCATGTGGACACGACACAGCTTAGAATCTACTTAGTATCGATTGTGTCACGTTACATTATGTAATTTCTTGAAAGTTAAATGTCAGTTTAGTAAACGTACGTAATTATATCAGTGACAAAACAATTTCCATGATTATAAGACATGCGTTTATGAACACGAGTAAACTAATATCAAATAGTGATCATATAACCCACAGGTGGGACCACGTAATGTTCGATATTTGATTACATGTTTATCTACAACATCTTTCCAAATGCAAGCCGTCCACGTTCCATAAATCCTGTTATCACTATATACGTAAAAAGAATTGAAGGATGCGTAAAAAGATTGAAACGTACATTTCTTCTTACCAAAGCAGGTACTTATATGCACTTCTTTACAGAAAATATACTCTATCTCTTTTCAAAAAGCTTCTCTCTGGATATTTCAGCCATATCGATTTGACACCCGGCAAATCCTACACTTTTGTTGTGACAACTCCACAAGAGATCGGCCAGATGACCAAATTTAACTTCCGGTGGGAGGAGAATGCGCACTGGTACAAACCTGTAGACTGGAACCCGCTTAATTTCCGCCACCCTACTCTCTTTATATCGAAGGTGAAGGTCGTAGAAGGGGAGAACACACAACAGTAAGTAGTATAACCATGAAGTACTGTTTACAAGTTCGACCCTCTACTCACTCGATCTGTCTACCAAACTGTCCCCCATCATCCACCAAGCTTCCATCGATACAGTAATGTATTCATCGATCACCTCTCCACATCTGTCTATTACCCATCCATCTATCAATCGTCCATCTATCCCTCTGTAAGGAAACACAGATATAATATGTTATGATGATTATAGTTTATGATTTTCATGGTATCTAATTATGAAGATATATAATGATTGGGTGAGCCAGATTTCACAACACGCAGAAAGAAGCTTGGATTCAAGGCATGATGTGCACAAGGTGACTGGAAACCTCTTGGAAATATCGTAACTGAATCGTTGCACGTCATTATCAGTGATCACAACATTTGCCCACTGACTGCCTTTATTTCCCCTAAGCCTTAAGACGTCGTATGACGACCGTACAATCAGGCAGATATACTATCCAAAAAAAAAGAAACGCATAGACGTTTTGTATTTTTTAAAATCTATTAATTACCTATTGTGTTCAAACAATCGTCAAAATATGTAACAAAAGTGTTCATAACATGATTTTACACAATTGAACAAGTAAAGAATCGACTTTACCTGAAAGTGTTGATTTTGATGAGAATTCTTACAATGATTAAATAGGCATCGCCTCAACGAAACAGAAATCCCCTTCCAGTTGAAATTGTACAGCAAAGAGCATGCATTGTCTGGCTATGAAAATCCAGATTACTTTCGGAAATCGGCATTCGTTTTGAAGGAGTTTCAAGGTCAAATCACTACGCCACGTCTTGACGCTGCGACACGTAACATCGCAACTAAAAGAATGCACGCTGGAAATTACCAATCTTCTGATGACAGGCGTCTGAATGTTAGTCTGAGCACGATATCACGGCTTGCAGCTCGTTACAACCAAACAGGTATAACAAATGACCGTCCCCGTACAGGCAGACCTCGAGTCACCAGTGCAGCCGAAGATCGGTACATCCGGGTACTACATTTGCGTGATCGTACTGCCACGGGTGGGAAATCAGCAGCAAGGGTGCCTGGACTTCGGAGGATACCCCGTCAAACTGTACGGAACAGGTTGAGAAAGATTGGACTGAGAGCCAGGAGACCCGACGTCTGGACCTTGCTACGTCGTCACCATTGCGCTCATCGTCACCGTTATCTGAAATCATCCACTTGGTTGTATAGACATTTCCTTCTTCTAAACTGATGTAAAAATTCAAGTACTAAAGTCTATTTGTGGACGAGTTATACATGTTTGAAATTACAACATTTTCGCAACAGATTTCTGGCCTGTGCGTTTCTTTTTGGGGGGAATAGTATATATGGTATGCAGAGCTGATACCAGATCAGCTACCAAACGACCAGGTGATCGACAGCGTTCCACCACAAAGCCGAAAAACAGATTTCTCCAGATTGCACCATAACGTCATCACTTCATAATTGCCCCCGCACACAGAAATAACCTGTGAAATGCCGATGGCGTTGACGTTTCTACTTATGCAGCGCGCAGCCGCCTCCGTGAGACTAGTGATCACAGAGAGCCTGCAATGGCATCCCACCGGCCCGACATAGCAAGTAGGCACGTTTGGATTGGGATGATGATCACGTCAATGGGAGAAAACAAAGAATGGGCTCCAGTTCTTTTCACTGACAACGATTTCCATGTCCTGCGTGACACAATGACAGCAGCTACACGGATAACATCGCGGACGTTTACATGATGTTGTACGGCAGTCCAGTCGGACAGGACTTCATGGACGATAACACACGGTCTCATTGTGCCAGAAACGTTGATGCCTACTAAGAGCAGGACACGATGATCCGCAGCGCATGCAGTCCGGCCAGCGGACCTCAACCCCCTTGGAACGAGTTGTAGATCGGCCTCTCATAACGTCCTCTCCTTCTTGTAACTCTACAGGAACTCGACAATGCTCTCACTGAACAGTGAAACAGTCTTCACATAGTGAGCATGAGACGACGGTCCAAGGATATGATCGCATCACATGGATCACCTGTATTGACAATGCATTTATTTTAGACAATGAATATTTGTGATACTGTGGTCAAATACTCTCAGTTTGACGAGTAATCTTATTGTTGGGTTGCAGGCATTGCTTGGTACATGACATGTTCATTTAACATGAATTCACGTAATGATTTAGCTATTTCGACGGATTTTTCGTATTTTGTTTCAAACTTTTAAAATTAATTTACATGTTCAAGGTCACATACGGTCTTATTTTGATTTAAAGTCTTTATCATTTGACAAACACAATCATAGAGATAGAATTGTACTCCTGCTATTCGAGATGGTTCTTGTTCATTGATATTCTCATCAGTATTCTATATTATATATTCATGGTGGAGATATGCCACTTGGCCATGTACACTTAGTCCTTAATGTAACAACTTCTGCCGACCACCATGAATAAAACAAAGGCATCTGTTTGATCCTGTGGTTGTAGTGTTAAATTGACATGATCCCTCATGGTGAGACAGCTCATTGCCTCTCCCTGCACTGTTATTTCTGTAATGCACATGACAGGGTCCTAAAGTGCATCATGTTATTTCATCGTTGCAGATTCCAGTTTTGTGGGTCTAACGTTGCAGTGGAGAACAAGAGTTCCAAACAGCTGTCAGCTTCAAGCACCTGCTGATGAGTTAGTGACCAGGGGCTGCATGATAGATTACCAATTACCTAAATATAATTAGTTATTTAATATGTACATGATATGATTTGTTTGATGGCCGATGTTTCTATCCAATAAAGACACTTTCAGTTCGTATACTTCAATGAATGTCTTTCAGTTCATATACTTCGATGAATGTCTTTCAGTTCATATACTTAGATGAATGTCTTTCGGTATATCTTATTTTACGTATTCCTATCACATCACGTAACCAGGGTTAACAGGACACTTCTACAATAACCTTTTGATTGGCATACAGAAGTATGTTTGTCTTACCTTACACATAAATGTCGTTTTCTGATTGGCTGAGCCAATCAATGTACCCCGCTTACAAATGAGTAACATGTTCTATTTTACCCGCTGGAAATGCCGAACTGTGGGAATTCGTTTGGTACTCAGTGTTATAAGTGTTTGGGCTGTTGCCTAACTCCGGTACTCCTTATTAAGATCCAATACCTGTGCTTCCAACAGTTCAAAATTATAATACGTTGTTCACTGGTCCCTCGGGGCCTATGGGTTGATACCCTCTATGTTTGTTTATGTTTATGTTCGTGAGCATAAACAAACATAGAGGATACATCAACCCATGTCCCACTCGTGACCAGTGAACAACTTATAATGTTCGTGTGCAAAATGCCGATGTCCCTTCGTGACATTTGATCACGATGGTAACCCACACTGACCTTTTCAGGCGTTTATCACTCACTGAGTACCTGAGGCGATGGGGTGGTTGGGGGTGGTAACTCGGTTGACGTTGACGTCGTCCGTCGACGACACAGATCATTGCTACTCATACTGATCGCTGGATCTTTTGCAGATCTTTTGCTTGGTAATCTATTCATATTATTTCAATCAGCAGTTTGCCTTTTACATCCCATGAAATCTGTTTCGGCAGATAATCGATACTGTTTGTTCCCTGATGTTGACGTTTTGAATTGATTATACATTTGTTGGTGCCAGTGTTTGTGTATTATGCAGATGACATTTATTCCTGTAAAGATAATGTAGTTTGCACTGCTTCCAGTTCATATTTTAAGTGACTTATTGTGCACATTGTTTTTGGTAATAATAGGCTCTTTATTCATCGAGGGACACAAACTACGACCCTGGCTCACATACAATATGGTAATTCTAAAAGAATCGAAATATTATCACAAGGTTGATTCTACTCGGCGTGTTATTGATTTGATTTCTCCACCGAAAGATATTTATTAAGTTTTAGAATTCTAATTGGTTCTCCATGAAATCGATGCAGTACCATTTCAGTTGTATCATGCATATGTATAACATTTCATGTGTCCCCTTATTCAAGACGGTAATGATGTGCTTGCAAATGTGACATATGATATTTCTTGACAACTCTGTGGGAAACTTTTCTATAATAGCCACTCTATTTTGACCAGTGTTGCATTTGTTTAATGCTACAGCGTACATCACGATTTTATGCTTTATGCCATGGGAAACTGTTGGAGAAGGATAAAATATTGGAAGAACTATTTGTGGTAAATGAGCTGAGACAAGATGCTGCTGTTAAGTTACAATGTATTCTCTTTAAAACCACTTGCCAGACGTTTATTCACGATTGCGTTTATTCAAACCCGAACTTTCAGAAATATTTAACAGATTTAAGTAAATAATTAATCGACACTGGGCCACAACACTACCAAAATAAAATCAATGCTGCCCCCTTGATATATCATGGGAAAGATAACTCCTGGAACCGTAGGGGTGTTTGAGAAGTTATGTGTACAGTATGAAAAGAAATAAAGTAATTTCGAACATTTCTATGATAATATGAATGTATATGGGTTTTGAACACATTAGCCATATAGCACTGTAATGGCGTTAAGTATATGATCAGTGTTGAACGAATTGTTAACGCTTAAGTAGTCCTTTTGACGCAGATAGAACACATTAAGAACGCACAAGATGAAGTAAGTTAGTATGGGTTGAGACGCTCGTTAGCAGTATTTCTTCAATGCAATAGCGAGAGATTCCTACAACTGGCTTCTCTGTGTTCCTTAGTAAAGATTCAAAACGGTTATCGCAAATCCTTATCATCCCTCCTTGACAAAGACGTTATATGTGCTATCATTCAGCTACGAGAAGGAAAGTACAGTCACACTATGAATAGTTAATATTGCCATTTATGTACTACTTTATCCATTAGTGTCGCTGGCTTTCAGATGCCTCTGAACCCTAAGTACACACTGATTTAGTGGTATATCAGTCTTGAGTCAAATAAATTCAATTACTGCCTCTCCACGGACATATGCATTTAGTAAGTCTCACGCAGACAAATGCAAGTTTGACCTCATCTGTCGGGATGCTCAGGAAACATTGGCATCATGAACTGTCAAAGACCGTACCAGACACATAAGGGAAATATTCTTTTCTTTTGCAATATAACGCCGACTTTACTTTGGACAATTAATAATGGTACCTGTCTTGTGTACAAAGCGTTATTGTAACTGTTACGGATTGATCACCAAGAGAAGTAATGCTGAATACTTACCGGATTATAACGTAATGCTTGTGTCACTTGAACCACTCATACAGTTGGGATCGGTGCCTGAACGTTATGCATGGATCAATGACCTACTATTAGCCTACTTACCTGAACTTGAGGTAGTTTTCACACCTAAACCTTGATATATACAATGTTGAGGCAATGCATGCAGTATCTCTCACACATATGCACTGATACAATATACAGGACTTTTAAAGTTGTAGACGCAGACCAGTAAATATACTGGCGCTGCATGCATAAGTTCTCAAACGCGTTCAGCAATATTCACCTATTCACATCTCCATACTTACGTATCCCAGTGACACAATACTGATCGCTTTATCCAATATTACTTCATCCTTCAGGTCAACGACATTTGGCGACGGTCACTGATACTTTTGGTGGATCTTTATTCCTGTTTGCAATACCCAATAGCGTTGGCATTGACTGTTTGGCTGTACACGTATTGGCTCTGATGGTAGAGCAGGGGCTTTATCCGTAACATTTTCTCTTAACTTGGATGTGCTCGGGGAAAATGTAAGGAATCCGGAAAACATGTTTCATATAATTAACATTTGAGACACATCTAAGGACACATCTGGATATGGCTTCATCGTTTTCAAAACGGCTGCAGATTTTGAGAACACAGTTTGCAATGCGATATCGTTGGTTGATAACAAAATGTACTCTCAGTGCATGCCGCATTTCGTACAAGTTCACGTACAATAACATTGTTCTAGTGATCCCTTGCATGTAGATTACTTTAAAGTACAAGAGCTACCAGAAAAAGCAGCAGAATGTTATCAAGTACTTGATGTATTGAGAAGGTCAGGTTGCACAAAAAGCTGTTCAAATTGTTCTTGTTGGCGCTCCTGAGGGCTCGTACCGGAATGTCTGCAATTAGTTTCTGCCAATTGTAGCAGTCAGCTGCGTTTGGTAAAGACAGTTCCTTGTCTGTATGTGACTGTGGATGCATTTGGTTGATCGTGGTTAGTAATCGGATGTTCAGGAAAAAGATACACATGCTTCCCCTCCATTACAAGATATTTCAAATGTTAACTTTTCATTTTCGTATATTTGTACGTTGTATGTGAAGGCTTCCCCTTGTCAAAACCCTGTAACACCTTTAATAAAGGTTCGAGACTGTTATCTGTTACATTCTTCTGCAGTAAACACAGATAGCGCCACTTTGATGAGACCAAATCTAGCTATCCTTCATCATGTAAATTCAAAATACCGTTATGGTAACATGTGAATATTAGAAAAAACAATTACTGAAGTTATGTATACATTTATACATGTTGTGTCTTGGAGCAGTCATACAAAACCATCTATGCTCTCTTGCCATCAGAGACCGCCTCCGTGGTTTTGTGGTTAGAGCGTCCACCCGAAGAGCGGAAGGTCGCGGGTTCGATCCTCGACCGCGTGATACCAAAAGACGTTATAATATGGTACTTGTTGGTCCCTGCCTGGCGCTCGGCATTAATGGGTACAACAAGGACTGGTCGGCTCGGAGTCAGTATAATGTGTCTGAGTGGGGTATTCATGTATCTAAGTGGGCTAGCACTATAAAACCAGCTTCAGTCTGGGCTAGTACAAGCAGCCGCACATACACATACACACGCATGCACGTCGTCATATGAGCGAAATATTCTCAAGCACGACGTTAAACCCAATGTCACCTCACCTCACCTCACCTTTCCATCAGACATTTAAGAACAGTTGTTCCTATGGTTGTCCACTATGACTGTCCTCTTAATATATTTCGTTACAGTCTTTACATAGCTCTAGAAATGAGCATATTGTGACCAGAAATGTTTGCCCTTTCCACGAAAACACATTTCCACATGTATAACCTGTGTCTCTTCTTTATAACTATATTCTAATATTTCTGGGAAAATGTTTAGTAAATTTTCTCCCGAAGGCAATGTAAATAGCTTTAGGCTGAGACAGGGGACGCGCGTATGTGGCAGACACTTCGTTTAAAATAGAGGTTAGAAGTGAATGAACACTTCAGTGAAGTTTTTTCCTCATAATTCATTCATGGCATATTGAAAGTACCTTTATTTGAAATCGAACGATGCGACAGCGAGGCGGACTTTATAGCTTTCACATCAAAGGGTGGTAAGAGATCAAACAAACAAGTGGAGGGAATGATAAGGTTCGGAAAAAGCTCCTATCATGAACTGCAGCAGTGTTTAAACATTGACCAGGTTGACTGCAGGGGACTGGCACAGTTGACGTATGAAGACGACACACAGAGGAGCAGCCTGCAATCACTGGATCTGCGGGTTTCACTCTTTCTTTGCAAAGTATTCAATTAATTATAGCTGCACTGCGTTAATATTGAGTTTATTAGCTTCAACTGGCATAATCCACACGGTGAAACGATTTGACTTCATTAAGTATTGCTGGGTACTGATTGCTGACAATCTGTTTCTAGATACATGCAATGATATGATTATAGTTTAGTTTTACTTAGCTTCAACCGAGTGACATTATACTTACAGGACAGGTTAATGCACTTCATAAACAATTTGTTAAACAATGTTTAAATCGTTCCATCTTTCAATACATATACAGGAAGACATGTCT